TAAACGATTCTTAATAAGACTGCTGATTTAAATTTGCGTTATTTTCAATTTGGGAAAATTTTGGACTTTGATTTTTTTGTGACGACGCGAGCGATGACGTACTATCATTTTCGTATTAAAAAAATTAATTCTTTATAGTCAGCTGTCAGATTCACATTAATATATATTAAAAACACATTTTCAAGTGCGTTCAACGTCTTTAAGCGAAGATAGATCGATTTCGATGTTGAAGCGAAAAATTTAAAAAGTGACAAGCTTTAAGATATTATAAATATACATGCTCAGTCGTGTTTAAAATTGTTTCTTGTGGTTCGGGACATTCGTTATCGAATGTTACTTCGATTTACAAAGCAGAATTAAAAATTCTTGAAATCTTAAAAAATTCATCTTTGACAGTTTTGTTTAAACTGCTGTATTTTTTAAAGTGTGCAACTAAAGCGAAACGAAATTCAGTTCACACATCTATAAACGATTCTTAATAAGACTGCTGATTTGGATTTGCGTTATTTTCAATTTGAAAAAATTTATTTTTCACAGTTTTGTTTAAACTGCTGTATTTTTTAAAGTGTGCGACTTAAAGCGAAACGAAATTCAGTTCACACATCTATAAACGATTCTTAATAAGACTGCTGATTTGGATTTGCGTTATTTTCAATTTGAAAAAATTCATTTTCGACAGTTTTGTTTAAACTGCTGTATTTTTTAAAGTGTGCGACTTAAAGCGAAACGAAATTCAGTTCACACATCTATAAACGATTCTTAATAAGACTGCTGATTTGGATTTGCGTTATTTTCAATTTGAAAAATTTATTTTTCACAGTTTTGTTTAAACTGCTGTATTTTTTAAAGTGTGCGACTTAAAGCAAAACGAAATTCAGTTCACATTCTATAAACGATTCTTAATAAGACTGCTGATTTGGATTTGCGTTATTTTCAATTTGAAAAAAATCATTTTGACAGTTTTGTTTAAACTGCTGTATTTTTTAAAGTGTGCGACTTAAAGCGAAACGAAATTCAGTTCACACATCTATAAACGATTCTTAATAAGACTGCTGATTTGGATTTGCGTTATTTTCAATTTGAAAAAATTTATTTTTTACAGTTTTGTTTAACTTGCTGTATTTTTTAAAGTGTGCGACCTAAAGCGAAACGAAATTCAGTTCACACTTCTATAAACGATTCTTAATAAGACTGCTGATTTAAATTTGCGTTATTTTCAATTTTGGGAAAATTTTGGTCTTTGATTTTTTTGCTGACGACGCGAGCGATGCACGTACTATCATTTTCGGTATTAAAAAAATTAATTCTTTATAGTCAGCTGTCAGATTCACATTAATATATATTAAAAACACATTTTCAAGTGCGTTCAACGTCTTTAAGCGAAGATAGATCGATTTCGATGTTGAAGCGAAAAATTTAAAAAGTGACAAGCTTTAAGATATTATAAATATACATGCTCAGTCGTGTTTAAAATTGTTTCTTGTGGTTCGGGACATTCGTTATCGAATGTTACTTCGATTTACAAAGCAGAATTAAAAAATCTTGAAATCTCAAAAAATTCATCTTTGACAGTTTTGTTTAAACTGCTGTATTTTATAAAGTGTGCAACTACAAGCGAAACGAAATTTACTTCACACATCTATAAACGATTCTTAATAAGACTGCTGATTTAAATTTGCGTTATTTTCAATTTTGGGAAAATTTTGGATTTTGATTTTTTTACTGACGACGCGAGCGATGGACATACTATCATTTTCGGTATTAAAAAAATTAATTCTTTATAGTCAGCTGTCAGATTCACATTAATATATTAAAAACACATTTTCAAGTGCGTTCAAAGTCTTTAAGCGAAGATAGATCGATTTCGATGTTGAAGCAAAAATTTAAAAAGTGACAAGCTTTAAGATATTATAAATATACATGCTCAGTCGTGTTTAAAATTGTTTCTTGTGGTTCGGGACATTCGTTATCGAATGTTACTTCGATTTACAAAGCAGAATTAAAAAATCTTGAAATCTAAAAAATTCATCTTTGACAGTTTTGTTTAAACTGCTGTATTTTATAAAGTGTGCGAATTAAAGCGAAACGAAATTCAGTTCACACATCTATAAACGATTCTTAATAAGACTGCTGATTTGGATTTGCGTTATTTTCAATTTGAAAAAATTCAATTTCGACAGTTTTGTTTAAACTGCTGTAATTTTTAGAGTGTGCGAATTAAAGCGAAACGAAATTCAGTTCACACATCTATAAACGATTCTTAATAAGACTGCTGATTTGGATTTGCGTTATTTTCAATTTGAAAAAATTCAATTTCGACAGTTTTGTTTAAACTGCTGTATTTTTTAAAGTGTGCGACTTAAAGCAAAACGAAATTCATTTCACACAACTATAAACGATTCTTAATAAGACTGCTGATTTGGATTTGCGTTATTTTCAATTTGAAAAAATTCATTTTTGACAGTTTTGTTTAAACTGCTGTATTTTTTAAAGTGTGCGACTTAAAGCAAAACGAAATTCAGTTTCACATCTATAAACGATTCTTAATAAGACTGCTGATTTGGATTTGCGTTATTTTCAATTTGAAAAATTAATTTTTCACAGTTTTGTTTAAACTGCTGTATTTTTTAAAGTGTGCGACTTAAAGCAAACGAAATTCAGTTCACACTCTATAAACGATTCTTAATAAGACTGCTGATTTGGATTTGCGTTATTTTCAATTTGAAAAAATTTATTTTTTACAGTTTTGTTTAAACTGCTGTATTTTTTAAAGTGTGCGACTAAAGCGAAACGAAATTCAGTTCACACTTCTATAAACGATTCTTAATAAGACTGCTGATTTAAATTTGCGTTATTTTCAATTTGGGAAAATTTTGGACTTTGATTTTTTTGCTGACGACGCGAGCGATGGACGTACTATCATTTTCGGTATTAAAAAAATTAATTCTTTATAGTCAGCTGTCAGATTCACATTAATATATATTAAAAACACATTTTCAAGTACGTTCAACGTCTTTAAGCGAAGATAGATCGATTTCGATGTTGAAGCGAAAAATTTAAAAAGTGACAAGCTTTAAGATATTATAAATATACATGCTCAGTTGTGTTTAAATTTGTTTCTTGTGGTTCGGGACATTCGTTATCGAATGTTACTTCGATTTACAAAGCAGAATTAAAAAATCTTGAAATTTAAAAAAATTCATCTTTGACAGTTTTGTTTAAACTGCTGTATTTTATAAAGTGTGCAACTACAAGCGAAACGAAATTCACTTCACACATCTATAAACGATTCTTAATAAGACTGCTGATTTAAATTTGCGTTATTTTCAATTTGGGGAAAATTTTGGACTTTGATTTTTTTACTGACGACGCGAGCGATCGACGTCCTATCATTTTCGGTATTAAAATAATTAATTCTTTATAGTCAGCTGTCAGATTCACATTAATATATATTAAAAACACATTTTCAAGTACGTTCAACGTCTTTAAGCGAAGATAGATCGATTTCGATGTTGAAGCGAAAAATTTAAAAAGTGACAAGCTTTAAGATATTATAAATATACATGCTCAGTCGTGTTTAAAATTGTTTCTTGTGGTTCGGGACATTCGTTATCGAATGTTACTTCGATTTACAAAGCAGAATTAAAAATCTTGAAATCTAAAAAATTCATCTTTGACAGTTTTGTTTAAACTGCTGTATTTTATAAAGTGTGCAACTACAAGCGAAACGAAATTCACTTCACACATCTATAAACGATTCTTAATAAGACTGCTGATTTAAATTTGCGTTATTTTCAATTTTGGGAAAATTTTGGACTTTGATTTTTTACTGACGACGCGAGCGATCGACGTACTATCATTTTCGGTATTAAAATAATTAATTCTTTATAGTCAGCTGTCAGATTCACATTAATATATATTAAAAACACATTTTCAAGTGCGTTCAAAGTCTTTAAGCGAAGATAGATCGATTTCGATGTTGAAGCGAAAAATTTAAAAAGTGACAAGCTTTAAGATATTATAAATATACATGCTCAGTCGTGTTTAAAATTGTTTCTTGTGGTTCGGGACATTCGTTTTCGAATGTTACATTGATGTAGAAAGCGGAATTTGAAAATTATGTAATTTGAAAAAATGTATTTTTGACAATTTTGTTTAAACTACTGTATATTTTAAAGCGTACATTTCATTTGCAAGCGAAACGAAAATCAGTTTTCACATTTAGAAACGATATTAAATAATACTCTGTATTTGGATTTGCTTTATTATAAAGTTGTGTCACAATTTTAAATTTCGATTATTACATTGACGAGGCTTGCGATTGAAATGCTGTCGTATTCCGTATTAAAAAATTAATTTCTTTATTTTAGGGGCCACATTAACATTAATATATTAAAGACACGACATTTTCAAGTATGAATAAAAATCTTTAAGCGAAGATAGATCAATGTGGATTTCGAAGCGAAAAATTTAAAATGTTACCAACTTTAAGAAATTTCTAATTCTCATGCTCAGTCGTATTTAGAATTGATTTGTTATTGTTTAAAACATTCTCAATCGAAAAATATATTTTTCGAAAAAGCGGAATTCGAAAATTTTGAAATTTGAATAGAATCAACTTTGACAGTTTTCTTTAAACTACTGTATTTTTTAAAGCGTACAACTACAAGCGAAACGAAAATCAGTTCCCACAATAAAAACGATATTAAATAATACTGCGTATTCGGATTTAATGGTTATCTGAAAAATAATAAAAAAACATGAAAAAGAAACGACATTTTTTGTGACATTATAGTGATATAAACACACACGCATATATATAAGTACATACATGCTTGTTTTTTTATATATGAATTTCGTTATATATGGTATTATATATATATAATACTATATTTATAAATTATACATATATAATATAAGTTATTTTATATTTTTTAATATAGAAAAAACATTATTATGGGAAATATAAAGTTTACTGCAGAAATAAAAAAAGTGCAATGAATAAATATAGTACTGTAATAAAAGGAAAGGAAAGGGAAGGACGACCTGAACACGTGCAAATACACGACTATGCTCACTGTGCAGCACGAATAAACATAAAATTAGAATGGCTTCCGCTTGTACCAGTGATAAGTAAGTACATGATATTCATTTATGGATAAATTAGAGTCTGACAAAATGACTTTATTTAAATGATTTATTTATAGACTAGAAGATTGCGAAGTATGCGGGGCGACGAAAGCTAAATACACGTGTCCGAAATGTGAGGTTAGAACATGCTCTCTCGTGTGTGTAAATTTGCATAAGAAGGAATTAGATTGCGATGGGATTCGAGACAAAACGAAGTTTATCCCTTTATCGTCATTTGGAGATTTGGATTTACTAAGCGGTAAGATTTTTTTGTACTCAAGTTTTTCTTTTCTTTTTGCTAAAGAGACTGTAATGCTTCAATCCTAGAAGCTTTAATATCTACTTGATATTTTGCAGACTATCGTTTTCTTGAACAAGTTGGCAGATTAATTGATACGAAGAAACGAAATCCAGAAAAGAAATACACACGTCATAGTACTTTACCAGTGGTAAATAATTTTATATATATGTATATAATGATTAATATAGTCAATTTAAATTGGATGTTGCAGCTATCACTGTAAAATTTAATATACTAATTCTTTTGAACTATAAGCAATATGTACTTATAAATAGCTGAACGATTGTCGAACTGCATCTTCAGGTTTTAGACAGGAAAAAAAATATAAAACTAGCTTTAGCTGATAAATTACAATTTTATAGAGCAGCTGGATTACCCAGTATCAAAGTTCTCTTAAAAGCTGAAAAAGTTAAGAAAGCAAACTCTAAGTAAGTAGACATATTAAAATGTTGCAATG